TATATATATATATATATATATATATATATTAGTGCTGTCAATCGATTAAAATGTTTTTTTTCTGAGATTAATCGCGAATTAATCCCACCTAACATTAACGTTTTTAAATATACTTTTATATTGGAATAATTCCACATTAAATCTTCAAATTAATGTACAAACAACATAAAGACAGTATATTTTTAATATTTGTTTAATGGCATTTTTTTATGACTGAAGGCCAGTATCAATGATACCAATACCGATTTCGCTATAAAATTGCCCCCCCCCCAATATTAAACTATTGACTAGCCATTCAACATTACAGTATAATTGAGAGCTATCAATTTTAACATGTGTTAGACTTTAAAAAATAACTTCTAATTTAAGTGAACTTAAAACAATCTTCACATAAACCCATTATAATAAATGTCATATTTACCTGTGTCCTTCTGCAGAAATATACAGAAATTGAAGTTATCAAACACTAAATTCAAAATTAAAAATAGATGAATCCTTAAAGCTTCATGACTTATCTGACCACGACATTGCATGCACGTAGATTATTTCGCTCTTTGATATGAAATGATACAGGCTACAGTGCTACAGTCTTTGTGCGTGCAATTGAAGCACACGCGCTGCGAGAACAGTACCGTTTCCGCGCTCGTTTGACTTAAATGAAGTTGGGGTGTGCGTCTGAAACGTCTCCCGTTTGATGTGATCGTAAAGACATTCTGCAACTGAATAAATGTACTTCTTGTCAAGAGAAAAGTGACAGAAACAGCAATTGTGAGTGGAGAGCCCTGGCCCTGAGTTAATTGCGTTAAATATTTTAACATATATATATATATATATATATATATATATATATATATATATACACACGTGTATCTCAATAAATTAGAATGTCGTGGAAAAGTTCATTTATTTCAGTAATTCAACTCAAATTGTGAAACTCGTGTATTAAATAAATTAAATGCACACAGACTGAAGTAGTTTAAGTCTTTGGTTCTTTTAATTGTGATGATTTTGGCTCACATTTATTAGTGCTGTCAAACGATTAATCCCGATCCTGTGTGCAAACACCTGTGAACAAGTTGGAAAACATCAAAAGCTAAAACAAACAGAAGAAGCTGCCGACCGACAGTCCCTGATTTGCACTTTTCTCTTGTGTTTTCAGCAGAGAGATCCCAATGGGAGTGACGGCCCAGAGTTTCTCTGCTCTCTTTCTTGCTCACTGTTTCATGTTTTCTCCATCTTTACACTGCATGCCTTAAACATTTATATGCAGTGTGTCACTGAAGCAGATTCAAACCTGTGAATGAATCTGTAAAAACGAAACAATCTTTCCACAGAACAACATTCAGCTATTTTATCTACCAGATTTACAAAATATGCTAACGAATTAAGAGGATACCGATTGGCGATTTAAACATTGTATAATGTAGTGTTAGGGAGAAACTAACAGAAATTAGCTTTATTTTTCATTGATTAGCGGTGTGGCGCAACCAAAAGCTGTGCAAACACAGATTTATTGTTTCTTCCCGCAGATCGCGCAACAAACAAGGTCTCCAAATTGTGAAATAATTGCTTTAATTAAGTTTTGTACTTTTTGTTTGTAGCTTGTAGTTCTGCTAACTACAAAAGGGTAGCTCGAGTGCAGACAGTGGGAGACTACTTTAAATTGCTTGTAGATTAGCTTCAGGATTTACAAACTTGACATTTACAGGTTTGAAATCAGTCTGATAAATCCTTCGCTGAAACTCACAGCAGTTACTGAATCAACATCTGCCTCACTTACTGTACTGAACTGCAAATTAGCATTAGCAATTGAATGTTTGTTCAAATGACAACATGTAGTTAAAGATGCATTTTCTGTAATGTTTTTGAAATAAATGGAACATACAAAAAGCATCTGTATGTGTTCTAAAGCGATCTCAGTGTACAAACGATAATTTTGTCTTTTATCAATAACTTTACAAAAAACTTGATCTTCTAATGACTTTTACAACCATTAGATTGTAAGAACAACATAATTTCTGCTTGTAAATCCTTGTGGAAAAGAAAGGCACTTCTAAAATGTGTACTATATACTAAAATATAAGGAATAGTTCACTCAAAAATGAATTATTCACCGACATTTTACTTACTCTCAGGTCATCCAAGATGTAGATGAGTTTATTTCTTCATCAGATTTGGAGAAATGTAGCATTACATCACTTGTTCACCAATGGATCCTCTGCAGTGAATGGGCGCCGTCAGAATGAGAGTCCAAACAGCTGATAAAAACATCACAGTAATCCACAAGTAATCCACACCACTGCAGTCCATCAGTTAACATCCTATGAAGTGAAAAGCTGTGTGTTTGTAAGAAACACATCTATTATTAAGAGGTTTAAATTTTTAACCATCACTTCTAGCCAAAATATGAGTCCATAATAATCAATAATGCTTCTTCCAGTTAAAAAATCAATTTCCAAATCCTCTGGCATATTTATTTAGATCTGTTTTGGCTTGTAAATAGTCTTTGATCTGTGCATATTTCTCTCCTGATTCAGACGAAACAACATTTTCACCAGAGGAAGCAATATTATGGATTATAGACTCATATTTTAGCCAGAAGCAACCATTAAAAAAATTAAAAGGCCTTAATGATGGATTTGTTAACGGATGGACTGGAGTTGTGTGGATTACTTGTTAATTATTGTTATGTTTTTATCAGCTGTTTGGACTCTCATTCTGATGACACCCATTCACTGCAGAGGATACATCTGTGAACAAATGATTGAATGCTACATTTCTCCAAATCTGTTCTGATGAAGAAATAATCTCATATACATCTTTTTTTTTTGTGGACTATTTCTTCTTCTTCAAGTGCAAAATACAATGCATAAAGTAAACTAATAACATGATGATTAAAAAATTATGTTGAAGCAAAACTTTTAATTTGATATTATTACAAAGTGCACTCCTTAAAATTGCACTTAACAGTGTTAAAACAGTCATGAAAGTGTCTCTCTTTAAGTGCAATTTTATTTCATTAATGTTATATTATCTGCAAGTACACATTTTTTTTTAATACGTTTTAGATTTAAAGTATACTATAAATGTCCCATAGCACAATATAAACCTCTCTGATTATCCATTAAATCAATTATCCCTAAAAAAACATTAAATACATTAAGCTTTTGAATCCCAGGAGCTGATGGTCTCACATCACACCAAGCTTCATATCTGAAGCAAATATTTGATAGAGAGAAATGAGAGTAAGAGACCTTCCAAAAAGATGAAACCTCAGCCTTTCAGGCATGTGACGAAACTCATGAGCCAGCAAGGGAGGAGAAAGGGAATCAGAGGACTGAGATGAATGAATAAATAAAACGTTTCTCTTCCATCCATCTCTTTCCCCGTTGCCTTTCCTCATCCAACCCATTTGTTCTCTATGGAGGGAGCAGTTGGATGTAATTCAGAATAAAGACACTTACCCCCTGTTCGTGACGACAGCCTTCTTCAAGTGAACGTAACCGGCTGGGAAGATCCCCTGCGAAACAAAAGGGAAGAACGTTACATCTCTGCTTCTGCGACTGTAAGCCTCCATGAAGAGATAGAGCGAGCGTGTGAACGCGTCTCTGGGAATGTGAGCGAGCAGAGGACGATTCCAGCGGCCCTGCTGGACACAGATCATGTCATAATCTTTTGCTTGTTGTGCTCACATTGCTCGAGGCTGAATCAACCTCAGAAAGTTCCCAGTTCCTCGACTAGACGTGTCAAAGCCCAAGAAGTCCCTTTGGAGAAGAGAAGTTGTTTTTCTTAGACTGCTCATACTTGATCAGTGTCGAGAGTGTAGTGGAAATAAGGACAGCTGAATATTAACCATCAGGACTTAAAGAGATCGTTCAGCCAAAAATAATGACTGTTTACTCATCCGTGTGTCATTACAAAACTGTAAGAATGTTTTGTTTTGTTGTTGATTTTTTTTATATGTTTTGGGTTTTGTTTCATGTTTTCAATTAAATTCAAAGTGTTCAAATGTTGTTTTGAACCCCAATGACTTTGAACCGTAATGTTTTGTTTCTTATGTTTGCTTGTTGTTGTTTTTTTAAAGTTGTTGTTGTGTTTTGGGTTTGTTTTATGTTTTGTTTTACTTTGCTGGTCTATATTTCCATGTTGTTTTGAACCCCAGTGACTCGTATTATACAGATAAAAACATTTTTGAATATGTTTTTTTCATAATATTTTCTTTTATGCTATGCAGAAAAATGAAAGACATAAATAAGTAGTTATAAAAATAGTCATAAAAATAAAAATAAATAGATTTTTTTTTTTTGGTTGTTAATGTATTTCGTGTATTGCTTTTATTTTCTTCATCTACACAGTGAGATTCAATGTCTTGTCTTGAACCCCAATGACTTTCTTTATATGAACAAAAACATTTTTAAACATTTGTACAAATAAATAAACAAACTGTTACGTATCCGGTCCATGAACTTCCGTCTGCTAGCCATCAGAGGTCACCCTTTCCATGTCATTGACTCTCTGTCATCTTAGTCTGCCTCGTCTGTTTTCTTGGTTTCTGATCTTTGCCTGTTTTCCTGGATTTATCCCTCTAGTCTCGCCCTTGTGATTCTGTTCGCCGATTGTTGACCTATGCTAGCCCTAGGATTATTCTTGTGTCTTGCCCGCCATCTACCTGTTTGCCACTGTTCGACCCTGCCTGTGTTTCTGACCTCCTCTGCTTTTAATAAAGCTTGCACATGGATCCGCACGTCTCACGTCTTGTCAGCCCCGTAACAGAATACTCGGCCACACAAGGATCCAGCAGCTTCTCATGTGAACATTGGCCAGGTATGGACACTGCAAGGCTGTTTTTAGCCCTCGAGCAGGGCACACACTCGTCGAGGACTACATTCAAGAGTATCTGGACATTGCCTATCACTCTGATTTACCGGACTGTGTTTTGATAGATTTTTTTCTGTAATGGCATTAATCAACCGCTAAAGTCTAAGCTCACACTTGAGGGTCCACGTTCGTCACTATGTCAATTTATGGATTATGCTTTATTGACTGTGGGCTCTTTGTGTATGGTGGGTATCGCGGAGGAAGAACGTGATACCGTGTCTGTGCCTGTAATGGTGGCTGCTGAGTTTAGTCAACCACAAGCTCCGGGATATTCAAGTTTACTGATCGCTACTCGGTGATGCAACCCACTCGTGAAATGGCGGCCGCACCAGAGCGCGCTCGCATGATGGCGGCGACAGTGGAGCCCATTCGCAAAATGGCGGCCACACTAGAGCACGCTCACAAAATGGCGGACACAACAGCACCTAGTCATGTCACAGCTGCCCATCTTGAGTTTAGTCAAGTCACCATTGATCCTCCTGAGTCAAGTCAACTCACAGCAGATCTTCGTGAGGCAAGTCAAGTCACACCTGTTCTTCATGAGCCCAGTCAAGTCGCAGCTGATCTTCCTGAGTCGAGTCTAGTCACAGTTGATCGTCATGAGTCAAATCGAGTCACAGTTTATTATCATGAGTCTGATCAAGTCACAACTGATCGTCATGAGTTAAGTCTAGTCACAGTTGTTCTTCAGGAGTCAAGTCAAGTCACAGCTGATCTTCATGAGTCAAGTCAAGTCTCAGCTGATCTTCATGAGGCAAGTCAAGTCACAGTTGATCGTCAGGAGTCAAGTCAAGTCACAACTGATCATCATGAGTCAAGTCAAGTCACAGCTGATCTTCATGAGGCAAGTCAGGTCACAGTTGATCGTCATGAGTCAAGTCAAGTCATAACTGATCTTCATGAGTCCAGTCAAGTCTCATCTGATCTGCCAGAGCCTCATCACATCTCAGCCGTTCATCCAGAGCCTCGTCACGTCACGCCTCAGTTATTCATCCAGAGTCACGTCACATCACAGCTGATCATCCAGAATCACGTCGCATCACACGCATGCTGCAGAACCTCCCGAAACGGCGGTGCTCGCTTCAGCTCCTTGCGTGGTAATGGCGCCCAGCAATGCACTTTCAGCCTGTCCTGTCACGGCCTGTGAACAATTGTCCTGACTCAACCTGGCCGCAGAGGTTGTCTGTGAACTTACGTCCAGCCCTGAATCGGCCACGGAGGCCGCTTATGAACTCACTTCCTGTCCTGTAACAGCTATGGAGGCCATCTATGAACGCTCCGCCTGTTCTGTTCCGGCCAAGGAGGTCATCAGTGAACTCTTTGTCTGTCCTGTCATGGCTATAGAGGCCGTTTGCGAACTCCCTGCTCATCCTGTCACGGTTATAAAGGCCGTTTGTGAACTCCCTGCTCATCATGTCACGGCTATGGAGGCCGCCGGAGAATCCTCATCCTGTCCTGTCACGGCTATGGAGGCCGTTTGTGAATTCTTTGCTTGCTTTGTTTCGGCCAAGGAGGTAGTTTGTGAACTTTTGTCCTGTCCCGACCCAGTTAAGGAGGCTGCCTCTGAACACTCAACCTTGTCTATCAACCCCAATGTTCTGTCTGTGTTGTCTGTCTCTGCTCTCTCATTGTTACAGTCTCCGCCATGGTTTCCTGATAGGTGTGGTTCACCGGGGGGGTCTCCTGTTCCTTCTGCTCCACCGTGGTGGTCTGTCTTAGCTACTCTACGGAGCCTGTTTAGTTTACCCTGCCTTAGCTTAGTCTGCCTCGTCTGTTTTCTTGGTTTCTGATCTTTGCCTGTTTTCCTGAATTTATCCCTCTATTCTCGCCCTTGTGATTCTGTTCGCCGATCGTTGACCTACGCTAGCCCTAAGATTTTCATTACATAGCCTAACGCAGTCTGATAACTGCGCTAGTCTAACCGAGACTTGTCATTTGCACTTATATATTGTTGCTCTTTTGTTAGTTTTGACTGCTTTTATTGTCCTCATTTGTAAGTCGCTTTGGATAAAAGCGTCTGCTAAATGACTAAATGTAAATGTAAAATGTAAAGTGGCAAATTCAGTTTTGATTGGTCAGATCGCCTGTCAATCAAACTCCTAGGGAAGGGTCAATTGTTCACATTTAGTACAAGCTATAGAATCAATGTGAATTGTTAAGATAATCTGGACAAATTTGATGAGAAATATTTCAGTTCACATTGAGATCTCTGAATTTTGATAGTTGATTTTGGTTTATTTGGGTATAAATCTGAGTACATTTTGCGACATGAAAATCTGTTGATCAGCAGACTTGAGAGATTGTCTTTTTACCACTGTCTTTTTCTCAGGACAAAGTTTACGAAGCAAGAGACTTCAGAAAAAATCCATTTGCTTTTTATTTATTATCATTGCCATCTAGGAGAAACATCTCAGATATACTGTACACTCTGAGACATCGATCTCATAAAGAGATCTCACTTGTGATTTGAGTTCTTGACCAGAAAACTAGTCACTCTTCACACCCCCTCAGCAATTGAGAATAACACTTTCAAATCTCAAGAGCAATTTATTTCATTTCAGTCAAACGGTGCAAAGCTCTCAATTTTAAAAGAGATCAATCGGAGGGATTTAGGGCATCTAAAAAACCTAATAAATCACACAAGTGGCTTTAGAAGAATGAAGCAGAGTTTATCACAAAGCAAGAACATCCCACACAAACATCTCAGCTGAAGAATCCAGATGGTTGAGCTGCTTGCCACGTACAGTTGTTGCCTAATTTTTTTCGCTGTTCGCTTTCAAAAGTCAGATTAATTAGTAATTGAGGACACCAAATGCTCTGGAACAAACCTCCATCTGCTGGAGGAAGGATTCCATGTGCACGGATGACAAACCAGCATATGTTAGTATTCATGAGATGGGTGGTCACTCGCTAATCGCTGCTTTCTGTCATACATGTAGACCTCCTGTTGTTTGAGAGCTATTTTCATGTTGATAATAATTGGAATCAATTATACATGTTTGAATAATTCACACATTCATTAATTAAAAGTCAAATCCTATTTATACAAATGGAAGAAAAGCCCAGATTTCACCGCAAAAGCTAATATATATTTATTATTTTTAAAGATAATTTTCACCCCAAATTTTCATTACCAAGATGCTTTTGGACATATTACTTTATTTTTTTATTAATATTATTTTATTTTTAAAAATGAAGGCAGTAATACAACAATCACTACCATTACACTTTTTATATATTTTTTTCACATAAAGGGATTAACTGCATTACGGTAGTGACAGTTGCTTAAAATGTGATTAATTTTCATGAAAAAAAAAGATAAAAGGCAGTACAACAATTATAATCATGTTACTTTAAAATATAAATATATATTTTTTCACATTAAAGTGATAAGATTATGTTGCATTAAGGACAATTGTGTAAAATGTTCTTAACTGTCATAAAAATGTTTAATCATAAAAGATAGCACCAACAGTTATATTCATGATACTTTAAATATTTTTATTTATATATTTTTTCACATAAAAAGTGATGACATTTTGTTGCATATTTTGTTGCACTATGGTAACGACAGTTGTGTAAACTATGCTTCATTGTCATAAAATGATTAATTATAAAAGGCAGTGCAACAATTATAACCAT